GGGCTCATGCTCCGAGGGAGAGGGCCCTGCGGTCTGGAATCCGGGGTGGACAGCGCTGCCACCGGACAGGCCTTCCCTCAGGCCTGCGCGCTCTGACGCGTCGCTTTCGGAGGCCGGGCTGGGGGGAGGGGGCAGTTTTCCCCAAACCGTCCCATCACCCAGATGTGCCCACGAGCCGGGCTGTTGCGGTTCCCTTCGCTAACACACGCCCGGCAGCTGGCCGGAAGGGGGTTCAGACCAAGACTCAGCTCCAAATGCTGGGAGGGGCCCGCTGGAGAAGGGGGCTCGGCACTGCGGGAGGTGCTCCCTACCAAGCAGTGCCGTCCCGGGCACTGCCCACTCTAAGCGGCAAGAAGCCAAGGCCCGCGGGGCCCAGCGTTCCCCTGGGTGACCGTCAGGTCAGGCTCGGTGGTCCCTGTGGCCTGCAGAGCCCGCCGCCCGTCGCCCCTGCAGGGGTGACGGCCTCACGACCGTCCACATGCAGCCCTGGGCCATTGCCCTGCACCAGCTGGGCAGGTGGACGCTGGTGTGTCCGTAGCCACCTGTGCGGGACAGGACTGCACACATGTCTGCAGCCTGCCCGAGCGCGGGTGGTCATCACCGCTTCGCCCAGCCCCTCGCCCGGCACGCAGAGCGTTTCCTCTCGCTCGGCTCTCCGTGGAGGCAGAGCACAAGCTGGACCCATCCCTTCAGGGACCAGATGACTATCCTTAAGAGCTGTTCTCTACTCTAGGCAAAGTATCCTGATTTCTAGTTTCCCCCCCAAGTCCCCCGCAGGACATTACAGGTCGTCGTTCTTCCCTGACTGCTTCCTTCCCTCTTAGAGGACGTGAATTTAGAGGCTCAGCCAGCACACAGGCCTGTCCCAAAGGGGTCCCGCTGGGCCGATCCCGCCCGCGTCTAGAAGCCGGGCAGGTGCGCTCCAGGCCCTGCGCCTGGGCCTCTGACTCGGCCCCTTCCTTCTCTCGGAGCCCTTCCTCGGCCTTCGGAAGGGCGTGGCCACTGCTGTGCCTGCCGGGCTAGGAGGGCCCCGGCCCTGCCACGCCCTGGGGCGTCTGGGCTTTTCTGGGTTGGGGGCAGACCCCTCCCCCATCCCGGCAGGGCTGGGCGCAGGCCCCACTCTGGCAGCCACTGCCCGCAGCCTCGGTTTATGGCTTTCCAACGCCTCTGCTCAGACCCGCCGATGCTACCGGGGCCCCACAGCGTGTGCTCAGGGGCCACTCTGCAGTTCAGGTCTTGGGGCACTTTGGCTTCAGCCTTAGTCGGATGGGTCAACTGAGGCACCATGCGGCAACCCAATACAGTGAGAGTCCAACAGGAGGTGAAACCCAAGCCCAGCTGGCTTGCCTCAGCCTGCAGGTGAGGCCTGCTTCCCCCCACGCCACCGCGGGTGACGGACGACACTGACCTATGTTGGTAAGCTGGCCCTTCGCACTCAGGGACATGGACAGCGCAGGAGGCGAAGGCAGCTCCGACGGGTCGTCCGACTCGGGCAGCCCACCAATGGTGTGGGAGTGTCGTCTCTCCTTGCCGTCCTCCTGGGACTGGAGCTGGTGCCTGTCGGAGGCAGCAGCACTCAGTCTGGGCCCCCACAGACTGGTGCCAGAGGGCGGGACGGTGTGCAGGCTCCGAGGCAGGACAAAGGAGACGAGGAGCCGACGGGGGTGCCCCCAGCAGGAAGAAAGCAGGGCAACTCGGCGTCCTCTCCCAGCCCGTGAGGGGGGCTGCAGGACCAGCAGGACCCTCTACGGGGTCCCTGAGGTGGGGCCTGAAGTGACAGAGAAGGCACCAGCAGGTCTCCTTGGACCTCAGGACAGAGCTTTCTGATCCCGAATGTGGTTCTCAGGCGGCAGGAGTCACCTGACTGGGGACTTGATGCTACAGTAACAGTGGAGGCCTGGCTGTGTCCCTCGCCCCGTCTGGACGGCCCCAGAGGCCCCTGCTCTCCCGTAGACTTTGGGGGAGGAAAGCGACAGAAAGGAGGCTCGGCCAGGGTTGGGAGAGCACAGGTGGGCACAGGTGAGGTGTGAGTCCCGTGTGCAGACTCGTTTGTCCTCTGTCACCAGAGGCTCTGAGGCTGACGCAGACCTAAGGAAGCGTGGGCAGGGTGCTGGGAGGGAGACACCTGGAACCACACACAGCCACTCCGCACAAGCATCACCAAAGCCATAACTAGGGCCTGGAGAGGCCACCTGACGGTTTCCACGCAGACCACAGCCCGGGGGTAGGAGGAAAAGCACGTGCCAGGGTTACCTGAGACCTTTCTTGGGCAGAGTGTTTCGGTCCCGCTGATTACTGTGGAGGGAAAGAAGAAAAAAAAGGAGCGTGTGGGTACATCTTAGAAACTAGAGTTTGGGATCCTAGGTCGGAGGGACGCGCCACCTGAACACAGGACCTCGGGCTGCGGGCCCCTTTGTGCCTACAAACCTAAGAAGGCAGCTGCAGCCTCTTGCCTCACAACGTGAGAAATTTACCTGAAATGTTGAATGCTTCTCTCTGATTAGGAATCAGAGTGAGGTTAGCTATTGAGAAGGTCACGTGACGGTCGGTGGCGACCAGGACATGATATAATAGACATGATTTCGGTCTAGGGAGCAAAAGCTTTGGAGTCAGAGCACCGATGTAACCTTGCCTATGTCATTTCACACCTTTATGCATGGGTTTCCCTATTTCTAAGATGAGGAGAAGAACTCAAAAACGAAAAACATCCTGGCTACTTTGCGGAGCTGTGGAGCCAATGAAACTGCGTACTGCGTATGAAATGGAAAGTCGAGGTGGCCATCACGCGTGTGGCGGCATTACTAACGGCAGTGTGAGGCGGCACGGGGTAGACTCGGGCCCAGCCCTGCCTCTGTCCACCCACCTGTCCAGCTGCCCAGCTCGGGGGCTTCCGCTCCAGGTCAGCTCTTCTGTGTCTTCCTGGGGGGGCGCGGCCGGTGGGGCAGGTGGGGTGGGGATGGGGGAACTGCTGGGGAAGGCACTGGGCAGGCTCATCGGCATCTGGAGGGACTCCATGCTCCTGTGCAGGCCTGAGAGTTTGGGGTACATGCGGGCCTCTTTGGGGACGCTGAACCCACTCATGAGCTCCAGGCCCTGAGAGAAGCTGGCTGAATTGATATTGAGGATGGGGGCCGGGCTGGGGGTGAAGCAAGAAGACAGGGGGCCCCCGGCGGCTGAGCTGGCAGCGTGCAGATCAGGGACCTTCGGAGCGTGAGGGTCACCGGACGACGGCAGGTCCAGGCTGTTGGAGTTGACCTTGTCCAGGCTGGCTAGCGAGGGCGGCTTGACAAAGCTCTTTGCTGCGGCCCTGAGAGAGGAGATGAGAGAAGGAAGTGCTGAGAAAGGCACAGCGAGAGAGCGAGAGGCAGAGGAGACCCAGACGCCCTCCTCCGGGGCCCTTCCCAGTGACGGCGAGACATGGAGGGAACTCCAATACGTGCCATGCGGCCCCTTCAAGTCTTAGTGGTGGGGACAGCGCACGTGCACGTATGGGAGACACGTGTGTGTGTGTGTGTGTGTGTGTGTGTGTGTGTGTGTGTGTGTGTGTGTGTGTGTGTGTGTGTGTGTGTGTGTGTGTGTGTGTGTGTGTGTGTGTGTGTGTATACACACAGCGAAACCACCTTTAGGAGCGCTGAAGAAGGTGAACGCTGGGCTGGGAACAGCCCAAACAAGGTGACTTCAGGAAACAGTGTTGAAAGTGGGACAAGGAGGAACCAGCATCAGGGGCCCCCGGGCGACAGGGACGAGGCCCAGAGAAGCCCAGACGGGCCACCGTCACATCCTGAGCAGTGCGGGGTCGGGGAGGACGTCAGAGCGGACAGACGGGGAAGCCACCGCCGTGGGTACCTGACGGGGGTTGGTGGCAGCTCTGCCAACTTGCTGGCCGGGGGATGGCCGGCTGGGTTCTTGGGCGTGGTCTCCGGGGAGCTGATGCTCTTGAGGGAGATGCTGTCTGCGTCCAGGCCCACCGCCTTGGCTTTGGCCTTCTCCTTTTCCCGGTCTGTCTGATTGACAGGGGCTGGCGTGGCGCGCCCGCTGGCCACCTTGGAAGGCTCCTTCAGTCTGGATGGCGTGAGGGCCCCCTGCTTGGCGCCCAGCAGGCTAGGGTCAATGCTGCTGCTGACAGGGCGCGGCCCGCCCCTCCCACCGGTCACGCTCATGGAGCCGGACTTGGCCGGCCGGGGCAGGCTGCGGTACTGGATGGTGGAGCGAGCTCCCGGGGCCAGGAAGCCGGGCTCCGCGCTGTTGGACACGTCCAGGCTGGTCTTGCGCCCGTTCGCTGGCTTCACAGGGATGCCCGAGGACTTCTGGGCCTTGCCAAGCGTGGCCGAGCCCCCAGTCTGCATGACGGTGGCTGTGCCCGTGGCAGGAGGCTTCTTGTAGCCGAAAGAGCCCGAGGTGGAGGGCCGGGCGATGCCCGAGGGCGGCTTCTTGGCGTCACCCAGGCGGTCCCGGCCGGCGTCGGAGGAGGAGCGCTGCAGCCCGGTGTTCCTCACGGCCAGCTTGCCCTTGTCCGTGGCTTTGCCTTCAGGTTTACCTGGGAGAGGCAGGGCGGGAGGAAAGGGGGGCTGAAGCCGCCACCGACGCGACAATCCCTTCTTTTTTCCCTGCGTGTGTCAGTGTGTTTTAGGGACCGGCGTGACCGGCCACTCCAGAAGCTGGTGACATCTCTTGTCCGAGGGCAGGGACCCTGGGTGGGAGGGGCTTAGGGTTTTTGTTTTGTTCTTTGTTGTGTCCTGCTTCCAGAATAGAATATTCCATTTTGGTTAAAACGGCAGAGGAAGCACAAGGATGATCGAGAAGGAAGTGCGTGTAATGACTGGTCGGGGAGGGAACAGAGGAGGGAGGCAAACGGACCACTGATGACTGGGGGCCAGAGGGAAACACGGACGAGGGCGAAAGTCCCCCAGGGGCCTTTGCGGGCGACACAGGTCTGACGTCTCGTTTTCCCAGGGCCTCCCTGGGATGTCAAGCGAGTGTCGCGGTACACAGCCAGACGTGTGGGGGTGAGGAAGGAAAACCGGGAGTGGGGGTGTCTGCAGGCTGCGGTCCCGGACACAGCACCCTCGCCTCTCTGCTCGCCTTAGTCGTGGGCTCTGGCTCACACTGAGCCTCTGGGACTTCATGTCCACATAGGGACATGGTAACCAGTGCTGCTAACTCACGGGGCTGCTGTGAGACAGAGGACGCGTGCCAGAGCAGCGTGCAAGCGTGTGCTGTCACCCCGGGGTCAGGGACCACAGGGGAGGAGCAGCCGAAGACGCAGGCCTCTGCCTCTGCCCCTGCCCCGTCCATCACTCCGGGCTCACCTGCAACTTTGAGGGCACTCTGGGCTGTGTGAGTGATGGGGGAGGTGACCGCCACGGGCGGGGTCTTGCCCTTCTTCAGGGACCCAGGGTGTCCCAAGCTGATGGGCTTTTTCAGCTCTCCGACTTTGGATGCGTCGTCACAGCTCTCAGGCCGCTCCCTCCGCCACTTGGAGCTCCCGGGCTCCATCTTCAGGCTCCCGCTGTCGTACTCCAACTTTTGGGGGGCCTTCTCCTCCGATTCACTGAACCAGCTCAGCCCGCTCTCTGCCAGGGAGCGCTTCTCGGAGTCTGTGCGCAGCTGCAGAGAGGAGCAGCATAAGACGCTGGCTGGGGGTGGGGGGCCGGGAGCCCTGTCCCTCCCAGAGTCTAGTCAACCCCGCGTTCCCACCCATGCTCGAGGGTGCCAGAGAGGACATCACACGCATCGCATCCCTGGGTTTCTTTTCACTCCAAATTGGTGTGAGCGCCAAACATGGGCGCTGCCCACCAGGACAAGAGCTAATGTGCCAGGTGACCGGCTTGGCAGCCCCAGGGGTCTTCCCACCAGCTCTAAGAGGGCCTGGCCGAGCCACGTGGGCGCCAATGCCACGGAGTGGGTGAGCGTGCGCGCACACAGGCACTGCCCCAGCTGCCCCGGGCCTCGTCGTGACACGGTGGCCCGGGCATCTGCAAGGCCACGTACCACGATCGTCGAGTTCCTGCGAGAGGCGGTGGGGGTGGTCGGCAGGGAGGTGAGAGAGGAGCTGGCGTTGAGGTCTTCCGAGCTGAGGTTGTCCGAGGCGTCGCTGAGCCCGCTGCTGATGGAGCTGCTCTCATCCCAGCTGCAGGACGGGAGAGAGAAGGGTTAGCCGGCGCCCAGGCGGGAGGGGTCACACTGGCCCGAAGGAGAAGGATTGGGGGTTAGGCCCGGGAGTGCAGGCCACTCAAGTGACGTAAACTGCCTCGTTTGGCATGTTCTTCTACAGGAGGAGCCTGTCTTCATGTGGAAAGAGCTGCTATCTCAACAGAGAGGTCCATTATAAAGACAGGTAACTCTCAGGTGGACCCAGTTACACAAACCAGCCTCTCCTCCCTGGAAACAGCCTCCACACCTCTAACCGCCAGGCCTTCGCTCATGTTCAGACGTGCTTGCGGTGTCTCCCCTCCCTTTTCTACGTCATTTTTTAAACAAGGCCGGGAAAGGCTTTCTCTTCCCCAGAACCACTCAGGCTTGTCACTTCTCGTCCCCGCTGACACAGCTCGCCTCCCCTGGGATCAGGACCTGCTTCGGAGCCCCGCAGACCGCACAGGGACCCACACCTCCGGCGGGGCCACGCACAGGGCCAGCTGTGGGAATACCCCCTTTCCTGCTGCCACTTGGGGTCGCCGGTGTGTGGTGTCTGGGAGAGGCTGCTGTCAAAGCCCCGTGTCCATGTGTCTTTTCACAAAGAAGCCTGCTCTGCGTGCTAAGCGGCTCGGCACAGCCTCTGCCTTGGTGTCGCTGGGACCCGGCCCATTCCCCCGGCTCTTCATTGTCAGAGCAAGGTCACGGTCAGAAAGTGTTGAACATGCGAGGCAAGCGGCCTCCTGTCCACTGTGCCCGGCCCCTCTCGCTCTGGCCGTGCTTGCTGTTCGCCGGTTTCTCTGTGATCCCACATTAGTTCCTCAAAGTCTGTCTCCGACAACCTTTCTTCAAAGGTCCTGCTTTCTAAGCTGTTCACCATTTCTGTGACTCCCTTCTGGACCCTAGAAAGGTCTTCAGGCTTCACTCAGGTTTCAGAACCCGCTGAGCACAGGACTTCAGGAGGCTGCTCCCCGAGTGTCCGTGCCCGCCTGCCCGCGGGAATTCCTCTCGACATTCTCGTGCCCGGGTTCACAGGCTTGTATATCAGCTTTGCCCGTGTGCAAGGACCACAGAGGCTGAAGACAGTTTCTGTGAATTAGCTAGAATCTGGAAAATTTCTCTTTGATGTATTTTGAGTTTCCTATCGTGGAACCAAAATCAGACATATGAGCCTTCTGAGTCCTGGCCCGGACCCCAGCTGGCCTCCCTTGGTTCGTGTGCCGGGAACGGGGGGCTGGCTGCCCATGGGGCTTGCTGCTCAGCAGTGAGCACTTCTAGCACACTGAGAGGCCAGAGCAGTTTCGATTATATTACTATGAAATGTGGCCGTGATTCAAGTTTTCCGGTCCTAGCAGCTCTTCTGGGTCAAGGCGCGCTCTCTGGCAAACATGGTATTCACAGCAAACGGTCTTGGGTCAAAGACAGAGGAAGCCAGTGGCACCGAACCTGCCACCTGAGCTCTCCTGCTGGCAATCAAGGTCTTACGGAAGGGCCCCTGACGAGAAGGGCTGCTGCAGCCCACCACGCCGAGGAAAACCTCTCTGTCCTACGTTCACGGCAAGCCTGCTGCTGAAACAAGTGGGGGGGACTTCACCTCAAGTCCTCCTTGCTCAAACAACATTCCTCCCAAGTCACAGACTTTCCCACAGTAAGAAAGTGTAACCCTAAAATCACCAGGGAAGGTTGGCTGGAGGATTTAAAGATTGGAGATGTTCCACTGGAGGGAGTGTAGTTTCTTTCTTTAAAAAAAAAAAATCAGAAAAGTAATACACGCTATAGTCAAGACTCAAACATTACATAAAAATATAAAGGGGGCTGGCCGAGTGGCGTGTTGGTTAAGAGCTGGCTTGGGACGCCAGCTCTGAGCAGCAGGGCCCCGGCTCGGATCCCACATGAGGGCCAGTGACGCTGTGCCCTCTACAGCTAAGATGGTGAACAACAGCTCAACCTGGAGCTGGGCTGCCGTGAGTCGCCGGCGACGGCGTAGGCTGCAGTGGTTTGCTGTGAGCTACCGTGAGCGGCTGTCCAATGGCCAGCGAGCGACTGCCTCACCCGGGAAGAGCACAATGATAATACCAACATGGGCCAGTGAAGCAACGTCCTCCACAACTAGACTGAGGAACAAAAGGACAGCAACTTGTCTGTTCCCCTTCCCCAGATTCCCCAATAAAATAGATATAGATATATAGATATATAGAGATAGATAGATAAAGGGGAAGGGAAGAACGCCCCTTTTCAGCCCTCCCGCGCTGGCTTTTGGGCTGAGCGCTGCTGGCAGTCCTTGGGCTTCCTCCCAGACGGCTCTGCGCCTCTCTGTCTCTGGCTGTTTGCTCTCGGACCCGTGAACAGGTGACGTCGTGGGACCACACCTCCGGTCCTGGAGAGCCTTTACCTGGCAGGCGCTGGAACCTCAGTCTGCCTCCTTGTCGCTTTACTCTCTCCTTTTAGTCAAGGACCTCTTCCGGGGGGTTTCCGGGAAAAGATGCGTGGGAAGCAAACTGGGTAAGATCTCACACAGTCCGAACCATCTTCACTCTATTGTCACATGTGAGGCTGGGCAGGCATGGGACCCTCAGCCGACAGCGCTCCTTTCGGAGCGGACAGGCGCTGCCCCACGTCCAGCCTCTGCTGCTGCCGTTCGGTGCCTCGTCCTGCTCGTGTGACCTGCTCTGAAATATTCTTCGTGATGTGGATCGGGGCGGACCGGCTCCTACCCACTGACTCGGACACCCTCCGGGGCCTTCCAATCCGGAAGCTCATGCTCTTTGGTGTGGGGACATTTCCCTAACGATTTCTTTGAGGATTTTCTCCTCCCCATTTTCAGGTTCTCTCTTCTCGAAGGCCTGTTACTCAGATGGTAGGTTTTGAGGCGGATACTCTGGTTTTCTTGCTTGTCACCACTATCCACAGCACTCCCTCACTCACAGGGGCTGCCTTACAGTTTCTCTGCATAGTTTCCGGTTCCAAGTCGCTCTTTCTGTTTGTACAGGTGAGGGTTCCAGGTCAGAGATCTTCTGAGGCGTGCGGGGACACTCAGCTGTGTCCACAGGTAGGACTTGTCAACTCGGCCTTCAGCACAGGGGGTGTGATTACTGAGTCACTGAAGTTTTGTCTCGGGCCAGTCAGGTTTCCCAGACACCACTCTCCCTAACTCCCACCTGGATGGTGTGGGACCGATGTTCTGACAGCTTGAGCTGGGGATCAGGCCTGCGGGTCTCCGCATTCAATATGCAAAGTTTCACTTAATACTCCTTGCTTTGGGCTCAAAATCCGTGTCCCCGCTTGTGCCAGGAGAGCCCATTTTACCCTCCGCAGACCCCAGTCTCCCGCTGGCGAGGGGCAGGGCAATGCCTCCCTAGGACTAGTGGGGGATGGGGTCCGAGAGTCGGGGTTCCTTACGCAGTAAATTTCCACAGTCCTCCTGTTTTTAGTCCCACCCTTCCCCCCACTTAAGGTACCCGATGTCCCCAAGGACTGGCTTTTTGACAGTTCTGGGGGCAGGGTGGGCACACAGGTTTCCCACTGCTGGCTGGGGACTCGGCTCTGAGCTC